AGCATGTCTGATGATGATACTTAAAAGAGACAGCTGAGCCATAAAAAGAAAAAAAAATAAAAGAAATAACGAAAGGTAACCGCTTCACAAATTAGAAACATAAAATTTGTTTAAACCAGGTAACGATTTCAGGTAAGAAGTAAGAATCGATTTCTTACCTTCCTAATTATTCGCATGGGAACCATAAATTTTGGATAATAGCTTTCTTATCCGTTTAATTTTTAATGTCTTGTACCAGTTAGGCCATTTAGGGTTAATTAAAATGAATCAAGAACCACGATATAAATTTCTTTTTTTTATTGATTTCTGGAAAAGGAGCTTCTCAATTCTTTTTCCCCCTGCTGTATCAGCAACAACATTGATTTTCTAAAAATGACATAATAAGTCGTAGCTACAAATTATGAACTACGATTAATGTGTTTCGTATTATGCCGGTGAAAATATACTTTTGCTTTTAGTACTTTAAAAAGAATAGTTCAGTCGAAAAGAAAATATCTGTAACAAAAGGGAATAAAAGATGGGCTTTGTAACCTGATATCAATTTGCGTGTATGAGCAATATCCATTTTGCAATAGATTTTTATTTATTCATTCGTGAAGGACAAACTAATAATTTAAAGGAAAATGTGCGTGGTGGATGCCTCACAGAAATTAGTTATTCTACCTAACTGGATCACACAAGAAGTCTATAATGGAAAGCCACTGAAGTAAATTTATGCAAAAATGTGTGCTTATTTGATTGTAAGTTTTCATTTTTTTTCTATACTGTTCCATGTTATTTTTGTTAGTTACGCACTTGTTGAGAGCATATTGTATAATTATTTTAACGAGTGCTTTAGTATAATAAAATTCGTTCTCATTTTGTGTGTTTTTAAGTTTTAATTTTGTGTATTAGTTTGTTGAGGCCGACTTGGCTGAGTTGAGCATCCGTCTAGATGCATCGGGAAAATACAATTTCAAAACCCTAGAACCTAGTTTCCTTGCAGCTTAAGAAAACCCAATAAATACAACTACATATTAACCCAGAGTCAGTTCACAAAGCTGAGTACATCAATTGAGAATAGTGCGAATATATTTCATTTTATTATATGAATGATATTGTTAAACTGTGAATCATATTTCTCGCTTGTTAATAGAACTTGCCTTATCTCTGGTGTTCTTGACCTATTTATAGCTACTTACCTTGCATTAGGTATAGTGTCAACTTCTACTTCTTGCTCTTCTGAAGTACTTTTAAAGCGTTATGGATGAAAAACTCCGCATGGAAGGGTGGCTTTCAGAAATAGTAGGGCTAAGCCGGTAACACTCGCAGAGTTAAAGATACGTTTACGAACTCGTAACGTTATAATGTACTGTAAGCGAATGGTCAATGGCAGCTAATTAGTGCAAACTATTATTTTGGATAAAATCTAATCTTTTTAAAGTTATTTAACAAAATTAATTACGTAGGAACATGTTAGTTTCTGTTTCTAGGAAGATTTCGCTTCTGTTACTATAAAATAGTCAAAATATATTTCCATCTTTGAAATATTTGGTGTGTCACACATTTCCTATTTCTGTTGTTTCATGTGTATGTAGTAACAATACAATTGTTTTCTAAGTCATCATCTGAATAAGTCGATCAAATTCTTGGAAAATAATTAATTGGCACAGAGAAAGATTACAGGACATTGTATAACAGTTAATATCATAATAACATATTTTTACAATTTTCCATACTTCAAAGTGGTAAATTGCGGCTATGCCTGGGACACAGAAAATTCTAGTTCTAGTGACACGTCTCATATTCAACATTACTATCACGGTGTACAAGTGTGAGCCAAATATGTGCGTACTGTGATTAAAATTTACTAATCTAAAATATAAAAAAATCTAATATACTAAATATTTTGCGATATACGAGTAGCTGTTGAATTGAATTTCTTGGTTTAAGAGCGAAGAAGATGATATTTAATAAGTAAAAATAACACACAAAACATTTAAAAACGCCCTTTTAAGCGTAATATAAAGTCTGAAATCTTTCAGATTTTTTTTTAAATTTTTAATTTTAAAATTATATTGCTATAATTTGTTTTTACAGATTATTTATTAATTTCGCGTTTTATTTATTATTGTTATTCCGTTTTAAGTACTACAGCTTCTTTCATCATAATATTAATTATTTTAATTATTACAACCATATTTTTATAACTCATTTAATTTGAATGGGCTCACCAGCGGCCGAGCGGTAAAGACGCTGAACACTGGTAGTTCGGTCCGAGGTTCGAATCCCGCGAACGGGCTGGCTACATGGGCGTTTTCGTGGTTTTCCCCATGTTACGTGTATACGAGCCAGTTTCCCTTAGAAAGTCCTCCACGAAAGCATCCCTCCCTTAAGGCAGTTAGCCCTCGTGTGCTTTGCCATAATTGAATAACCAATAACCATTTAATTTGAATAGTAGCATAACTCATATTCATTTAGGAAGCTTATCAGATAAACGTGTGCATGTTGTATTATGAACTTTTAATATAAACATTTTAAATATAGCATTTATATTTTTCGGACTCTTGCGGTTGGGCCAAGTGATGCCTTAATTTGTTTAAGAATATTACAGTTGCTTTTATTTCTATTTAATATTAGGATTTTAATAGTGCATTTTTTATCTCAGAAACAGACTAATTTTCTTTTGCATTTTTTGAGACAGTAACCCCCTGAAGTAGATGTCCAAGCAGATGTATTAACCATTTGCTTTTAAATTGGTTTTACTTATTATTTAGTTGAATTTTTATGTAGTTTTTTTCCACTGTGCCGAGTTGAGTTTAGTATCTGAATTTTTATTTTTATTCTAATTAATATTTTGTAGTTTATTTTTCTACTGTGCCGATCTACTTTCAGTTCATAATTTGATTTCATGCTTAATATTTTAATGATGACAATGTAGGATGTTAGAGAAGAGACAAATAATTTTAATTATAACCGATAATTGTAGATTCGGTTGACGTGTAGAATGCGTAATCGGGTAACAGAAGAATGGAACTTCTAGGCAAATGTAGCCGTAGATAAAACTTAACTTATTTCTGAACAAAATATACCTTGAGAGGCATATTTTAATTTGCATATCATAATAGGCGCAATCTACACCTAACATATTTGGAAATTTATATCATAAGACAATAGATGATGCAGAGAAATGTACCGCTATCTGTTAGAATCAGGCAAGCGGAAAAGTCCGAAGCAATCAAATGAAAGCCTGGGAGATTGTCAAAGGTTTTGAATCTCAAAAGGTTTCCTAGTTATACCAAAATCTTATTCACCGATTGACTAAAAATACATATCTGCATTTCAGCGTTATCTAATCACATCGTATACGGATTCATAGGATATAACGCAGTTTAGATTGATATATTCTGTATAGCTACAAAGATAGAAAAAGAAACTACTCAAATTAAAATGAAGAATAAGAGGGTTTGTTGATTAAAATCAGAAGTTTTCTATACATATTGTTGCGTGCTTATGGGCTAGTAACGGATCGAACGCACACAGAACCGATGATATCTTGCTAAAAGAATCTTCACAAAAGAATCATTTTACAGTTCGGGAGCTTTCAACAAAAGTACTCGTACAGCTTCTTCAGTATGGCAGCGCACAATCAGTAGTCATCACTTCAAATTACTTAAAATGTTAAACACAACGCAATGCAAAGCGTACTTAAAGAGTGAAGCTCGTACTGCATTCTTTCAATACTCTCAAGTCGGTTCTGAACAAATAACTGAGAATTGACGTTCTCGCCGGTCTTATATAATCCTACCCGGCTGCCGATAAATCTCTAGTACATTCTCGAAATTACTGTAAGGCATATAGTTTTAAAATTACATATAAGGGACAGATATGATTACAAATACACGTATGGATTAATTGCAGCTATACATTTGCAATATTAGTTAGAGTAATACAGAGACTGGACCAAAATGTCACTAAATGATAGCAGAGTGTGAGGAATTTTGGCAATTTCTCGCCAAATTTATGAATGAAAATTAGTTCCCTACCACCTAGCTCTCGAGAGGATTTTCAACTCACCATATATGTAGAGTGCCATATCGTTTGGGAGCATAATAAATTTTTCGGGAGTTTGTCATTTCACAATTATTTCTGTCATTATCTTTTTATGCAACGTCATTGACACATTATATAAAAAGTGAAGGTAAATTATTTCAGCATACTCTAATTAAATCGAACATTTACAAGGTATTATATAATACCGTGGTGTAATTGGTTACCTGCCCGGTTGGAAGCCGGAAGTTCATGAATTCATATATTTAATTGCTAATAATTAATTTTTCCTGCTCCGAAAAATGTCTAATAGAGCTACATTTTTTTTTCTTCCAAAGCAGTGAAAATCAAGCTACTCCTTCTTCTGAAAAATTAAATAATTTTACATTTTCAAATCTAATAGCAATCGCTTCTTCATCTTACACCTATCTCTGTCTGCTGATATAAATTTTTCTGCGTTTCCTTATTGACAGTTATAAATTTCAAAATGTACGCTTATGATTACCTAATAATGTGCCTACCCATTTGAGCCAATCTGAGAATGATACCTTTGAAGATGCTATGTCAAATATAAAGAATTATGCTAAACGATCATGATTTAATTTCCGTGTAAATGTTCTAGAATCATTGTTGTCATGTTATACCCGAAAGTTTCATCATAGGTATATTTAAATCTTCTGATATATAAAGAAAACATTTGCAAAATTTAGGCATGTAGCTAATATGACTAGAATATTACATTATGAAACATGCAGTAATAAAATAATTAATAAAGTTACTGAAATAATATGAGATATACTTCATCAGATATTATATTTATAATATAGATTTTCTTGCGCGAATCTCAAGTATAAATATCATCTTTTCGCGTTTCACAACAACCTAGCATTCGTTTTCAAAACGAGTAAATTTCATACGCGAGTTATCAAATGAAAATGAAATTTAAATGCAGACATTAATATCTGTCTTACCTTTAGTTTCTGTTATTTTCAAGACATGATCATCATTGCGAATCCAAGAGTCAATAACCACATAATCACGAACGAAGGAGGGTAAATGACATTTCAGAACAGCTGTATTCCCTCGCACAACATATTCTTCATAAACTTGAGGTGTGAAACGTTGTTTCATCACTGTAAAGAAGAAAAAATGTTGCATAAATATTAATCTTTCCTGAATGCAGTAAAGATAAGTAAATTCTCTAACGAATTTATTCATGAATTATGCATAGACTTCTGAAATATTTATTCAACTCGTTCTTACTAGCTGTCATAACAACAACCATTTTGTCTTATTTCGCTAAAATTTTTGCTTAAATTCTCCCCAAGAATTTTCCTCTTCCTTTGCAAGAATAATAAATATGCAGTTTTCATTTAATTTAAAAACAGTAACATTTGTGTCCTTTTAATTTCCATATTCTTTAAAAGAACGTTGATATATTTTCATCAATTTTAATTAAACGTAAATAAGGATTTAAGCGTTAATCTTTCAAATGAAAGTGTGTATGGAATCGGCAGCAGCACCATCTGTTTTCATTGTTTTGCAAGGAACTGATGTTCAGTTAACATGAACGCATTCGCTGTATCATCAAATAAATTATTTTCAATACAGCATGCTGAAAATATTTCCCATTAAAATCTGTCAAACACGTTAAAAAGGTAAGTCGGTTTAGAATAGAACACTGATAATATAACAGTTTTACATATAATATTTAAAACTTTTAGTTACTTATTATACAAAATATGCAATCACATAATTATTTGAAATATTTCTAAGTTATACATATTTGAGTTAAATGAACCATTTTTAATTATGTGTTATAAACTCTGTGTTTTATTTTTATTTTCTAATGTTCAGTAATGACAAATTCTATCATTTTATCTCGTTTAATCTAATAAATCAAACATGGAAAGAAATAATGCATGGTTATAGGCAGCATTTTCATTTATTTTGCTGTGTTATGTTTCTTATGATTTTCCCATAAACAGTTTTCCCTAACGTTTTAATAATGCTTTCCGCAAAATAAAGTGTGTACATTACAGGACAATCTCAATAAAAATAATTAGTAACTAACATTTATTATTAGTGTCACCAGAAAACTGGAGAAATTAATTAAATAATAAAGACAGGATAAATAAATTATTTTTGATACCTTCCTATAAAAGCAAACTTACGAAATGGATATCACAACAAAATGCAATTCAAAAACAAATGCATCAAAAGTGAACGAGTTATTTAAATTTAAACAACTAATTTTATAACATATAATTATTTAATTAAATGAGAATTAAACAAGACAAATAGAAATTTAGAAACTGAAAAATTTTAATAATTACAAAATTTTATTATTGAATTCACTCGTCAAGATATAACCTGCTCCGATATGACTTGAAATTAGTTACACAGTATAGAAAATTGACCAAAAGTCAAAATTAAACAATAAGAAAATTAATTAAATGAGCAGCTTATTTAAGCAAAATGCTAAATTTCACAAGTCATGAATGAATGGATTCCACATGTGTAATGTTTTTGATAACTTCAATGAATTTTCAGTTATTTACCAATACTGTGTGATTTTTTTATTATATTAATTTGCTTTTATTTCAGTTTTGATCCAATTATTTTCTAATCGTAATTTTTGTGATTTTCTCATTAGTAAGTCAAAAATTTTGTTAATATTTTAATTCTAATTAGTTTATCGTTTTGGATACGTATGCATATATAAGGAAAAAGAGAGAGATCTTCGTAGCTTGCTTAAAAGAACAGAAACGAAGTATTTAAAAATGTCAATTTCTTTAATCATAGCGCAGTTACTTATTCAAAAAATTGTGTAGGCATAAGAATAAAGTAGTAGCGATGTGCGAAAAATAAAATAAAACTATTTCTATGACAAAGTGGAACAAATTATAAGGATATTGCAAATGTGTGAATGTTGAAGAGAACCCATTTCTCTGCAATAATAAACTAAACAAAATACGTATTGCAACCTAAATTTAAAATTTATATGTCTAAAGCCAGTTGAAAAAGAAAACGACAGAAAACATGATTAAAGAACATTGAAATTATATCCATGCATCGAGGTGGACAAGTTCAATTAAATTGCAAAATCAGTTACAGTTTATAATGTGTCTATACATACAGACTTCAGATAAGGATACATATGGTAGCAGAACAACTAAAAATCATTAATTTTTGTTTAGAAACCTAACAGAGATTATTGCAACACTTAAAGCGCAAGTAATAATAAATTTAGTCTCAAATCTACAATCAGAGAAGCTAATTTTATAAATTTATATAAATTCTCGTACCTTAATGAAATAGGTTAAATCACTAAACTAATTAAATATACGTCTTTAAAATTTTAACTTATCCATTTAGTAATATCCCCTATAATTTAGGAGAATTAATAGATTAAGCTTCCGTAGTATATAAAAGTATTTGTTTATTAATTAAAAACAAATGTAAACTTTCAATCTTTGACTAAAACTCTAATCATATAATTTAGTTATCTAATATATAATCTAATTATATAATCTGTCTTTAATAATAAAATGCAGTTTTCAGCTTATAACAAATACAAATTAAAATTATTTTCAGTTTATTATTAAAAGAAATGCTTCTGTTTTTATTCCTGATCTAATAGATTTTGACATCTAATAGATCTAATAGATTTTGTATTTTCCTTACATTATTGTTTAATATGCAGAAGCTTAGATTATAAAAATTTTTAGAAAATGAAACGTATTCAGCGGTATGATTTTATTTCTTCAATTTCGCATTTAATATAGGTAAGATCAAATAGTTTAAAATGAATAAAATTTCCAAAATTAACGACGACTAAATGACAATTCCCAATGCGTTATGAAATCAAACTGTAATAAAGAATTTCTTCTGTCCGCTTCAATCAATAAAACGTTTAATTTAAATTTTTAGTTTTGCGAAACGTATGAACTCATAGCAATCATCGACAAGGAAAACAATTATATTTTGAATTCTGCACTGTTGTAGTTTTATGTCATATTAATACGAATATTATTTGCTTTACATTTCTTTATCTGGTGATTTGAAGAAGATAATACTTGATCAAAGAGTCTAATGTAATAAAAGTATTTTTCATGTTTTAATCTCACGAAGGTACTTTCAGATAATTTTCTTCTATACATCATGCATTTTATTTCCTGCATTTATTTGTGCAAATTTTGCAATTTTATTGCTACAATAGCTGATATGATTATTAGACTTTTAATATATTCAGTCAAAAAAATTGGTACTCCGCTACAAAAAGTGAGTATGGTATAAAGTGAGAAAATAAAATGAGTTCATTCTGAGAACTAATCGAGTCTCACTGCTACGTTTGAATAGCAGTAAGTTACCTTTTATTAATATAACTTAAAGTAATAGTTACTGCCAATAGCTATTCACTGAGCAGAAGAAGAACCTACAACATTGTTCTACATCCCTCTTCAAAATAAATGAATAAAAACTAATAACATTCCGAAATAGATAACATTTCCTTTATTGATACAGCTGGGAAATATGTAAAGCGTTTCAGTTTTAAAATAAAACTATAAAAATAACCATATTTGGAGAAGGTTTATTCAGTAGTGTATTTAAAGAATATATTGGTGTATTGGTGTATTTAATTATGGCAAAGCACACTAGGGCTATCTGCCTAAGGGGAGGAATGCCTTCGTGGAGGACTTTCTAAGGGGAACTGGCTCGTATACACGTTACACATGGGGAAAACCACGAAAACACCCATGCAGCCAGCCCGTTCGCGGGATTCGAACCTCGGACCGAACTACCAGTGTTCAGCGACTTTACCGCTCGGCCGCTGGTGGGCATTTAAAGAATATATATGATAAAAATAAAACTTTGTTTGGAAAGTAAAAACATTTAAATTTTCAGTACTAACAGTCTCTAGTTTACGAACACAGTACCGTAACAAGACGCTAGGTATTGTGCTTAATATTCACGTTTCTTTATATTGTTATTTTAGGCACTTTAGGCGTTAAATAAAAATTGTAAAACTTTTGTTTTACATTTTTAATATTTACCAGCATAAGAATTGTTCAGAATGTCTAGAGTTTAGTTTCATTTTAATGTAGTTTTAAGTGTTTCAACCTTTGAATGAAAAACTGATTAATCTTGCTCGAAGTTTTCGCAACTTAAATAGAATTACAGAGCATATCTCCTATGTCAACGTATATAGTTCTATAAAATAAATAAACATAGAGATAACTCGTTTCGAATTGTTGTGTAGCGAATTTAATTTAATTAAGTGATTCATAAAAATCAAAATTTTAATTTGTAATTATTCAAAATTTGAGCTACACAAGTTTGGTTATATTCTTTTTTTGGCTTATTAATTCTAGTGTAATATATTTTGGCTTTCCGAGTTTACGCGAACTGCGTTTTCAATCTTGTACACGCAAACAATGGATTTAGGTGAACTTTTCGTGTAATAAACTCAGTTTTTCATGTCAAAAATTAATTTGATTTCTTAGTATTTAATATCATTAATTGCAGAAAAATTAGCTCTTTAATTTGAAATAACTTTCGTTTTTCTAACTTTAATTGCATTTCAGTTATGAGCTTTAATTAGTAGATTTTTCCGTTTTGCATTGTGATTTCGCTTGTGGGGGATGAAATGCCCTTTTCCGGTAGAATTGTCGCTTTTTTCGAGTTTTAGCGTTCTTTCGTTGGGACTGCTTGCACGGTTGTTGAAATTCCAAGTTTCCCCTTCCACGAGGCGTGGTTATTTTGGCGGCGGCTTGGCGACTTAGAATTTCCGTTGGGTTTCAAAGTGGTGGATTTGGCGAGTTTGCTAACATGAGGGAATGCTGTATTTGCAACTGGTTTAACTTTTGACGAAGAGTGAGTTGTGCCAACTTGGCAGTCCAGCGTCCTCCCTTTTAACGGGTTGTTTTGGGGGACGAGCACGCTTTTTTTGACACTTCGCTGCCCATTGAATTGCTTTCTGATGCTGTACACGACGGCAGCTGCTTCTGCCGAGGAAATGAAAAGTCTTCACGATAGAGCTACGGGCCTCGTGCCTCTGCGCCTTGAGCGCGGGCCCTGGTTTATGGGCATCAATGTCTTCACCTAATTCATCGTTTCATCAGTTGTTTTT